TTTAATTTTTGGAACATATAAAGACAGTGTAGTAGTTTGCTGCGTAATGTGATAGATGCTACAAATAAAAATTTAAGGGCGCTTAACGCTCTTGGTCAACCTACTGAATACTGGGACACAATTATTATATACATAATGTCCACAAAAATGGACCATGTAACTAGTCGTCAATGAGAAGAATTAAAAAATAATTTACCCAAATTACCAAATTTAGAACAATTTAGAAATCTTGATATTGAATCACGCATTAAAAGGGCTTCTGAAAGTGAGGTTTGCATAAATTGCCTTCAACCAGGTCAGACATATAAGTCCTGCAAACTTTCTCATTGCAAATACTGCAATTATAACACAATACCCTCTTACATAGAGAGATAGTAGATACAAAACTAACTAGATAGTGTAGTACTTTCTACGAATTTCGACGAAAGGAAAATCCTACCTTTAATTTACCGTCAGCCATCGATATTTTTGTAGGCACTGAAGTCTTTTCGGACGTCTTAGGTTCAAACTTAATAAACTTAGGTAATCCCAAACCAACCCAAGCTTCACTCATCCAAATTGGGTTGGCTTATTTCAGGCTGTCTATATCAATCGCCTTCTCGTACTCAGCCTTCTTTGTGTCATTTTAGGTCACAAGAAGAGTCTGAACAGCTTACGCGCTTTTGGAAGTAAGACTCCGTGTCTTCTGTGCATGGTCTTTCTACGGAAGAGCAGAAGTGCGAAAGTTTCAAGAAACTACACGTCGCGACGCAAGTGGCCGCTTCGTTGTCACTATACCATTAAATTATTCGCCTGATAGCTTAGGTGACTCATCCGAGGTTTTCTCATTGTAGGTCGAGCGGATTCTACCTTTATTTTGATTCATTAATGAATACATAGAACTTAATCACATGATTGAAAACAAAATATCAAGTTGTTTTGAATATAATTATTATCTGCCGCATCATGGTGTTGTACGCGAGTCGATTACCACCACAAAACTTCATGTGGTGTTCGACGCTTTGGCTGCAGCAACTTCAGGCAAATCCTTCACAGATGGTAGGATCAAATGTCCAGCAGGATTTAATTTCTATTCTTTTAAGATTTAGACAACATAGGTTTGTTGTAACAGGCGACATTGAAAAAATGTGTAGAGCCATTTTAGTGGAGCCTCGTCAGCGTTCGTTACAAAAAATCGTTTTTAGGTTCGATTCTTCCGAACCCCTTAAAATATTCTCTGAACACAGTAACATATGGCACTGCTTCAGCTCCGTATCTTGCCACAAGGTGTTTAGTTTCTCTTGCTGATGAGTGCTCAGACTCTAAAATTGGTGACTCTATTAAGCGCGACTTTTATGTTGACGACTACTTGAGCCTTGGAGATTCGATTGAGTCAGTCGTACAACTCTGTCGAGGCGTCATTAATACTTTCGAATCAACTAAATTTTACCTTAAGAAGTGGCAGTCTAATAGCCTTAAAATTTTGGAATCATTAATCAATAATGCAAATAAGCACTCAGAAAAGCTCTTAATCTTAATGAATATCCAAGCAAAACACTAGGACTATTCTGGGACTCACATACCGACAAACTTTTCTTTTCAATTAAATCAAGCGCTATAAACAAAATAACGAAACGCATTATTTCATCTTTAATTAGTCAGGTTTTTGCCCTTGGTCTCGTTGGACTATGCATTGTTCAGGCCAAAATTTTACTTCAGCAGCTTTGGGTACATACATGTGATTGGGATGAAGACGTTCCAGTTGAAATGAAATGATCATTTATTGAATTCATCACTTCACTTCCTCGCCTAAACTTAATTCGAATTCCCCGTTGGGTTTAATCTATCAAAGCTTTTTTGATTGAACTTCACATCTTCATAGATGCTTCTGAGCGTGCTAACGGCGCTTGTGTGTATGTTCGATCAGTAGCAGAAGATGGAACGGTTTGTGTTCGTCTGTTACACTCCAAAAATAAGGTAGCACCCATTAAGCCAACAACTATACCACGCTTAGAACTATGTGGCGCTTTATTGGGGACGCGACTATATACAAAGGTACTCAAGTCCCTTATCCTTCAATTTAGAAAATCATTTTTCTAGTGTGACTCAACAATCATCCTTGGATGGCTTTCCACACAACCCAGTCGACTTAATCATTTTGTACGTAACAGAGTTTCTGAGGTGCAGGAAGCTACGATCGGCCAGACGTGGAACTACGTGCCTACCAAACTGAATCCCGCAGATCTCGTGTCCCGCGCGGGTGAAGGCTGATACTATCAGCGCGTCCACACTTTGGTGGTCTGGTCCTGATTTTCTTCATAACCCTATCATTCAATTTCCAACATGTCCCAAAACTCAAAACATTACTTTATTCGAAACTTCATTACATATCCTTGTCAAAAAAAATGTAATAGATCACACAACAATGCAATAACTCAATTAATTTACAAACTTTCATCATTTACTAAATTAATCAGAACCTTAGCTTGTGTCAATAGATTTATTTATAATTGCAGATTTCCCAATAACAAAAATTTTTCTCACGTGTCTTATTCGAATTACAGCGTTCACAAAATTTAATTTTACAATGTGCTCAACAGGAAATGTTCCCTGAGGAATACTCTTAAATGTAATAAAATATTACACAATAAAAATAGATTGATTCGCCTCTCTCACTTTATTGATTCTTATAATATATTACGTTAGGCGGACGCCTTCAAAACTCTGACTACACTTACGATGTAAAGCATCCCATACTACTGTGTAGTAAACATCACCTAACTAAAATAATATTTAAATCATACCACCTCTCTCTCTTTCACGCAGGACCTCAACTACTTTTAGCAAATGTAAGACTAACATATTGGCCTCTCGGTGGTAGACCTTAGCACACAGCTTAGAACTTAGCAGTGGAAAACCGCTGATCAAGAGCTGAAGACAGGCACCATGGTTTTAGTAAAGGACGTCAATCGACCTCTTCTTCTTTGGCTGATGGGCAGAGTGATCGCCGTAAGACCAGGATCTGACGGTCGTACTAGGGTTGCCGACATTTTCACCACAAAGGGAACTATTACAAGAGCATTTAATAACATCTGTCCTCTTCCAGCGTCTCCTGCGTCTTCTTGAAACTTTCCTGCTTCAACCCAGGGAATATGTTCCTGACGTCACAGCCTTTCGTACTCCCCAGCTTGTATCGCTGGGCAGCGAGAGTCAAACCGGTTCTGCGAGCCCCATCACCATCGTGGACATAGCGCGGCACTACTACGCAGGCCTTTTGCTCGAAACCACCCGGTTGCGAACATACGCATAACGGCTACTCGTATGATATATTGTATCAGAGCATATTAAATCACTTATACAGTCTACATATCGAAGTATCTATTTTAATTCGAGAATTCCACCAGCACAAGTGGAGCTCGATAATCAATAACTGTCAGGGGCGCGAAACGTCTTGAATTACAATCGTCAATTCTACTGCCAAGCGTGCCCACTTTAGCTGTCTAATAAATACCGAAAAAAAAAGAATAATTATGTAATAAAGTATTTTTCTAATAAAAAAAATGTATCTGTGTTACCATCCTATTATAATGTGGATGTCTCCAAGGCAAGAGTTTTACTCTGGTTTTAGTTAAGCTAATTCAGCGCGCTTTACCATCTTCGGCTGCATCACCACTTACCTTCAAGTACTTGCTAAGAATACAAAAAATAGTTAAAATGTAAATTAATACGTTTTAGGTTTGAGTGGTCATTAATAGGTTAGTTCAACTGGGGAAGAAACACGCGAAGAATAAAGTAAAAATATAATGTCACTGTGTTTCTACGAAGTCGAGATTTTAATACTTCTATAAATTATATCTTATTACCAAATTCAGAAGCTACTGCGGGAAAATTGTCTTACTTATTGTTACGTAATTAATTTAATGTACAAGTTTTTTATCTTACGTCTTTAAGAAAGCTCTTGTTTTTTGTTAACGTAATTATTTTATGTAATACAACCTTATCTTTAATAATTAAAAACCACGTAAAGACAAGCCATTTGGCGTTCCCGCTTTATTGAATTTTTACTAAGATTAACATAGTTGTGCATATTTTTTCACAAAATTCAGTAACGGTGTTAATGTGTCTTCATTCACTATAAGAAAAAAAGGTAAAATTTATATTATGAAGAACATTAAGGATTATTTTGGTAGAAATATATCCGAAAGTCGATGTCGAGGTCGACCGAAAGTCGATGAATGCAGGTGACTCAGGACCGTGCTTTGTGGTATTACTTGGGGGAGGCCTATGTTCAGCAGTGGACTTGAGAAGGGCTGTAATGATGATGATGATGATGATGATGATGATGTTCGAAAATGAAATGTTTTGTTTTCGTTTGTAATTCAAGGGGTTACGTAAAACTGTTAAGTATTTTGTTGTAAATATTGTTACGAACTTGAGGTTCGTGACAATAAAAATTGCCGATAAAATTACCTAAATTAACACTTTAATTTACTTTACACAAATTAAAGTTAAAAACACTAATAATTAAACACACTTATTCACTTTATTCCGCTCCGAAGCTTCGCTTGTTTCGCCAAATCAACACTACTCGATCGCATCTTGCAGCGCCTACTTATATAAATTAGCAAAATATCCAGAATATTCAAGTAAACACGCGCAAGGTACCGAGAGTTCGAGTTTTAAACTTCAAGAAGTTTAGTTCTTTGGTTCGAGACTAGATGGCGCTAGTGCGCCGATTTTAGTGCGTAACAATATCAATAAAATAACTTAATTTGTATTATCTAATGTCCTATCGAAGTCTGGAAAAAATATCATACACAATTTAAAACTAAAATTGACTACAGTACGCGCGCGAGTTCATGTCCATCGGGGACAGAGGCGGCGCGCGGGGGGCAGCTCGCCCCGCTTTCAACCACCTCGCCGCATTTGTCTGCAGTCGAGTGTTGTCCTTGACGGTTGTGACGCGCGCTTATCGATACAGAAAATTAGTCGAGATTGTGTTATTTTATCGTGAATAAACCATGACTACTTCGCTTCCAGCAAGTTCGGGTAGGAAAAAACCTTTTATAATACATAAGCAAGCACGTGAAATGGCGAGAAATGTCCTACAGATGTGTGTTGAAGAGAAAAAAGAGAATAAATTCGCTTTTCCCGTTAACAATGCTTTAGATCGAGCGGCCCGTTACACTGGACTTACTAAAAGAACATTGTCTAGAATTCAAACAGAAGCAAAAAATGGACCTCTTCATTCGCCTTCTAAAAAAGGGAAATCGTGTAATAAAATGGGGAATTTAAATGTAGATGATTTCGATAGAAGTGTAATACACAGATGTATAGAAGAATTTTATTTGACAAAAAATATCGTTCCCACTTGTCCTAAACTTCTGGCGGCAATCCGGGAAAAAATAAATTTTCCCTGGGGGACTACAAGTTTACGAAAACTTCTAAAGAAAATGGGCTATAAATGGCAAAAATGTCACAACAAGCGAAGGATTTTGGTAGAAAGACCAGCTGTTGTATTTGCGCGGTCAAATTATTTGCAAAAAATTCGTCAATACAGAGAAAACAATCGCGATATTTTCTTTTTAGACGAAACTTGGATCGACAATAACCTCACATTTAAAAAGTGTTGGAGAAACGATTATATAGACGCGATACTGACTGACACCAGCTCAACGAACAGGCTGATTCTCGTTCACGCCGGATCCAGACGTGGTTTTTTGGATAGCGCAAAATTGCTTTTCAAAGCTGGTACTGCTACAGGCGATTACCACGGGCAAATGAACAGTACGAACTTTGAGAAATGGGCGACTGACATGTTCATTCCCAATTTGCCACCATCCAGCGTTGTCGTTATGGACAACGCACCATATCACAGTGTTCAGGAAAATAAAGTTCCTACAAAATCAAGCACTAAAACGGTTATGTTAGAATGGCTTATTAGAAACAATGTAGAGGCTTCACTAAGCATGAGAAAAGGCGAGCTTTTTTGATTTGATAAAATTGCATGCGCCCCAAGAGAAAAGTTTTAAAATAGACCAGCTCATCCGTAGTCACGGACATGAGGTTTTAAGATTGCCACCGTACATGTGCGACTTAAACCCAATTGAGTTAGCATGGGCAAAAGTCAAGAGAGTTGTGAGGGAGTACAACGTTAACTCAGATTTATCCCTAACAAGATTGAAAGAAGTAACGGAGATGGCTATAAACCAGGTGACAGAAAAAGATTGGTGTGGATTCGATGATCACGTTATAATTTTGGAAGAGCATTACTGGCAAAAAGACGGACTAATGGAAAATACGATCGACAAATTCGTAATTGAAGTCAGCGACGGCGAAGATACTGATTCCGACTCTGCTCTGTCGGTTGTTTTTGCATCTGATAGTGATTAAATTGCATTTTAAAAAATATTTTTCTCTATTAGCAATAAACAAGTAAGTACTTATCACATTTATTTTATTTCATAATTTGCAAAATCACCTTAAGTTACAATAAACCAAATTGACAGCTGTTGACTAAATCGGTAGTAATTATCGACATTACCATAATTGATTAGGTCACAGCACTACCGCATTCCTCAGGATGGACATGAACTCGCGCGCCTACTGTAGTTGTTGGTAGTTGTTACGATTCGCACATCAAGGCAGGCAAAGGTCATTATTTTATTCACAAAATTTTACTCAATATAATAAAGCGTTATTTCTGGATTCCCTCTATGTGAGTAGTACTTCATATAAGAATAATTGAAAATTATATTGACTAGTTGTTATTGTTGTAACGATTTGCCAATTATGGCAGGAAAAGTTCTAATATAACACAGCCTAGTCTGATGTGAACTTTGTTCAACCTGGATTATATTCAGTTACTGACTTCCTACAGTAGTACGATGGAAAAAAATTCAGAATTTCAAACTCTATATTTTTACATATTTTTCATTTGTAGTAATCATTTTTTTTAGTGCTGGTGAAGATCAAACTCGGGTCGTTCGCGTACTGTCAAACAAGCCATAGCCCCTGAGCTACCATTGCTTTTTTATAGTATTTATATATAAGTCGATATTTTCTTGTAAGTTCTAAACTAGAGGATGGATTCGACTTCTTCTAATTCTTTAGCCTGAAAAAGTTGCGATGACTGTGATAGTAGAATATAGCAGTAGTATATAGTAGTAGTATAGTGAAATAAGTAGTAGATGATGGTAATGGCAATGACCATGACGATGTCGATGACGATGAAGATAACGATGACGACGACGATAAACATGACGATGAAGATGACGATGACAATGACAATGACGATTTCGATGACGATGACGATGACGATGTAGATGATCATGACGATGATAATGACGATGATAACGTTGACGATGACGATGACAATGACGATGACGATGACGTTGTCGAATATGACGTTGAAAATGGCGATGACGATTTCAATGACGATAACTATGACGATGACTATGTCGATGATGATGACAATGACGATGACGATGATGATGACGACGACGATAAACATGACGATGAAGATGACGATGACGATGACAATGACGAAATCGATGACGATGACGATGACGATGATGATGATCATGACGATGATAATGACGATGATAACGTTGACGATTATGATGACAATGACGATGACGATGACGTTGTCGAATATGACGTTGAAAATGACGATGACGATTTCGATGACGATGACGATGACGATGATCACTACGATGATAACGATAACGATGATGATGACAATGACGATGACGATGACGATGTCGATTATGACGTTGGCAATGGCGATGACGATTTCGATGACGATGACTATGACGATGACGATGATGATGATGATGACGATGATCATTACGATGACGATGTCGATGATGACGTTAACAACGGCGATGACGATTTCGATGACGATGGCGATGACGATAATGATGATAATGACGATGACGGTGACGATGACGATGACGATGACGATAATGATGATAACGACGATGACGTTGACGATGACGATGACGATGATGACAATGAAAATAACGATGATAATGACGATGACGGTGACGATGGCAATGACGATGGCGACCATGATGACGACAACGATGATATTTACGATGATGGTGACGATGACGGTGATGACGACGATGATGACGATGACAATGATGATGATGATGATGATGGTGGTGGTGACGATGATGATGATGACGATAATGACGATGACAATGAATGTGATGATTACGATGACGATTTCGATGATGATGACGATGACGATGATGCTGATCATGACGATTTCGATGACGATGATAACGATGACGATGATGAGTGACAATGAGCGTTGAAGATGACGATGTCGATGATGACGTTGGCAATGACGATGACGATTTCGATGACGATGACTATGACGATGACGACGATGATGATGTTGACGATGATGATTACGATGATTATGATGATGACAATGACGACGACGATGTCGATGACGATGACAATGACGATGACGATGATGATGACGACGACGATAAAAATGACTATGAAGATGACAATGACGATGACGATGACGATGAAAATGACGGTGATAATGACGATGACGATTACAATGACGATTTTGATGACGATGACGGTGACTATGATGATGATCATGACGATTATAGTGACGATGATGATGATGATGATGATGATGATGATAGTAGTGACGACGATTGTGACGCGATGGCGATGACGATGATAGTGATGAAGACGATGACGATTTAGATGATGATGACGATGACGATGATGCTTATGACGATGATGATGACGATGATAACGATGACGATGATGGTGACAATGACGATGTCGATGATGACGTTGGCAATGGCGATGACGATTTCGATGATAATGAATATGACGATGATAATGATATGACAATGACGACGACGATGACGATGACAATGACGATGGCGATGATGATGACGACGACGGTAAAAATGACTATGAAGATGACAATGACGATGAATGACGATGAAAATACTTACAATGACGATTTTGATGACGATGACGATGACTATGATGATGATCATGACGATGATAGTGACGATGATAACGATGACGATAATGATGACAATGACGACGACGATGACGATGTCGATGATGACGTTGAAAATGGCGATGACGATTTCGATTACGATGACGATGACGATGATCATTACGATGTTAACGATGACGATGACGATAACTCAATGACGATGACGATTACGATGTCGATGATGACGTTGGCAATGGCGATGACGATTTCGATGACGATGACTATGACGATGACGACGATGATGATGATGACGATGATGATTACGATCAAGATGACAATGACGATGACGATGACGTGATTCGATGACGATGGCGATGACGATGAAAACGACGGTGATAGTGACGATGACGATGACATTGACGATTTCAATGGCTATGACGATGACGATGATGATGACGATGATGTGATGATGGTGGTGACGACGATAATGACGATGATGATGACGATGACGATGATAGTGATGATGACGATGACGATTTCGATAATGATTATGATGACGATGATGCTGATCATGACGATGATGATGACGATGAAAACGATGACGATGATGATGACGACGACGATGATGATGGTGGTGACAATGATGATGAAGATGGCAATGACAATGATGATGATGATGACGATGACGATGACGATGATGATGACGGTGTCAATGAAGATGACGATGACGATGACGATGATGATGGCGATGACGACGATGATAACGTACACGATGGCGATGACTTTGACGACGACGATGATAATGACGATGTCGAGATACGAGCGACACAGATTCATCGTGCCCTCTAAAACAAAGATTTACGCAAGGTTGCTTACTGCGAAGGATGATGGCAAGAAGCACAGTTAAAAATATCTATCACTATGGGTCTTTGTTCTATTCACAGTGTGATTCAATGTGTTATCAAGATTCTGAATTACTAACACATTTAGAAAAACTTAAGAGTTGTTTGCCTCGTACTGTGAACCTTATTTTAGAGTTTATGTAGTTAAGATGGTCTAAAAATGCAGTTACTTTATTTAAATGTAGAATTGTGAAAGTTTCGTATCGTACCGTTTGCGTTTATAGCATCTTGGATTTACGGAAAAAGTGAGCATGGCTTTTTCCTCAAAGTCTTCTTAGGATGTTGTACTGTTAAGTTGGTTCAGAAGATAGGTGGGTTCTTAAAAATAGTCAAAATTTATGGTAAAATATTTAATTATTTATCTTACTTCCGCCCACGTACAAGCTAAGGTAACCCAGGTCCGACGGCGATGATGGCCGTTGGCAGGATAGTAGGTCAACAGTCCGTTAGCACACAACACGGCAGCAAGCAAGGCTTAGGTAGGTAGGTGGATAGGTGGATAGATCCTGGAATTCCTGATGGAGGCCAGCATTAGGCAATCTTTCAGTAGCATTGTATGCGCTCTTGCCAAGTTCAGCACCCCTTCTAGGAAGTTAAAAATTCCTAAGCGCTAAGCAGCCCCAGCAGAAGAGATAGGAATTAAGCAGAACTGTTACAATGCTTAGATACTATTATAAAAAAAAATAAGAACTCACCCAAGCGGGATCAACTGCACTTTGAATAATTTAAATTTTGAATGTAGGTAAGTTCAATAGTCGTTCGTTTAGGCTCACGCGCGTTGAGGAATTCAAGCAGTTTCAGGTAGAAATGAACGAGCAATGGCCTGAACGGGGACTCGTACGCATCTTCAAACTGTCCGAGTACATACTTTCGATTTAGAGATCGGTGAGCAACGGTTTAACGGTGCGCGGATTAAATTAATTATTTTAAGGTTCCGTAGAATAATATTTTAAATTAATAATATTTAAAAGTTTATTTGTTATTATTTTAAAATTAGAATGTATTTATTTATGATAAGAATAAACATTTTTGGTAAGGGTGTATTCAGATGCACCGTTACAATATGTCGGTGAAAATAGGAGATACAGGTTAGCTCATCGCCGAAATATCTACTTTCTTATGTAACTCCTATGTTATATGTTAAATTATATCAAGCAGTTTAGGCAGAGAGGCATGTACAAGAAATAGATAAACATAAATACGTACAAACATGCAAACATACACTAGAAAGCATTACCCTCTTTCTGGGACAGTCAGTTAAAATTATACCCATAGTGCTATAACAATACACGTAATATTAATATGTTGGCTCCATAGACATCTACATTTATGCTCAATTAAATCAAAATGCAGATGCTTTGTCACCTCTGAAGAATAAGGTGGAATGCCTCGTATGCAGTAAAAAGTTTATCTAATTCTCTACACTCACAAGCTGACTGTGACGTGGTAGCTCAGATGGTTAGCGCTCGCTGTAAATTTCACAGTACGCGAGCAAACCGGGTTCGATCCCCGCAGGCACCAATGAAATTGTTAATTGTAATTTTAAGTGCTGATTTATCACGTGCTCGGTGGTGAAGGAAAACAACGTGAGGAAACCTGCATGTCTTAGAAATAAGAAAAAAAATTCAAAGACATGTGAAGTTCGCCAACAAGCATTGGAACAGCGTGGCGAACACTTCCTTGCCCTAAAACCCCCTCAGAAATTAGGGGAGGCCTGTGTCCAGCAGTGGGGCGTATATAGGCTGTAACTTTAACTAACTTTAACTACACTCACAATACGAAACACAGCAACATTAAGCTACTATTTTGGATGTAAGAGCGTGGTCCTGTCAAGAAATAAAATAATATAGCTACATCGTGGCTCTATTACGTACTAAAATAGCATGTTCAGCAGTGCTCTAATGACCATTACAATAAAATATAAACAAAAGATTTTAAAAAATATTCTGGCTCGAATTAATAACCTTCAATAATAAGTTTTCCTTTAAACAAAAAATAAAATTATTAGAAATCCGTACTCCTTGTGATATATGATTAAAACTACTTTTACGGATTTTATCGCGTTTATTTTTACTTTTTATTTTTAATTTTTAATTCCCGACGTTTCGGGTGCTTTCCAGCACCCATGGTCACGGGCGACTGAGATGACTGACGTCCCGATGTCATTGTTAAACCCGGAGTACCTTCAGCTTTTTTAATTATTGTTTATGGTCCGATCTATGCAAAATGAACTGACTATGTCTTGAGTTCTTGCAGTGGTATGCTTGGGTTTAGTTTTAATTTTATTGATTATAGGATCCCAAGCAGGTGGTAGTACCCAGCCTCCTTCTCTATTGAAATTAGGATGTTTTTTAATTTCAATAGCCTCATGTATCATCCTTGGTAGGAATCGGTGTTCTTTCGCGAGGATTTGTGGTCTATCAAATCTGATGTAATGGTTGGTGCCGTCTAGGATATGATCACAAACTGCAGACTTCCCGGAACGTTGATGCTTCACATTAGCTATATGTTCTTTTACGCGGGTCCTAATTGATCTTTTCGTTTGTCCTATATAAGAGAAACCACATTCACAATCAAGCTTGTACGCTCCTGCATCTTGTAGAGGAATATGACACTTGACGGATGGTAGGAACTGACTAATCTTCTTCGGCGGCTTGTAGAATGTTCTAATAGAAGCTCGCTTCAAGATATAGCCAATCTTGTCTGTGACACCTCTGACATATGGCAGTACAGCAGGTACACGCTCGACTGTGGCCGGCTTCACTTGGTCACTGTGATGTAGGCGCGGGACCCGAAGCTTGTTGTCGTGCAGAACTTGCTTGACTTGCTGAAGCTCGGCGGCCAGGTGTTTGCTGTCACAGATCCCTCGTGCTCTCTGTAACAAAGATTTGCCCACGGTAGCTAACTGTGAAGGATGGTGGTGAGATTCACCGTTTAAATGTCGGTTTGTATGGGTCTTTTTCCTATACACAGTGTGAAGGAAAAAGAGAAAAAAAAAGACCATGTAAAAAACCATGGGTACTGGAAAGCGCCCGAAACGTCGGGAATTAAAAATTAAAAATAAAAAGTAAAAATAACGCGATAAAATCCGTAAAAGTAGTTTTAATCATGTGCAATGTTAATAAATATAAGAAATCATCCTTGTGATATAGTTAAGATATATTATGTATAATATAATGCTGGCTGAGTTTTCTTGTTAAATGGCTATACTTAGCCTCTGGGCTCAGTGCGAAATATAAGGTAAATGTGACCCTTGGCTTAACTCAATATAGCTTTCTTAATCCCTTATAAAAACATTTATTAAAACTTATGAAACAACGTTGAGATATAATATTGAGCAGTATTACAGCAGGCAGAAACCCCTTTTGGATTTTTTGAATATAAACCGAGCTTGAGCTTCCAAAATTAAATTCTTTGCTGCCTGGCCGAAATAAAAACTATTCCATTTGTCATCAATGGCGACTATCAGTCGCAGATACAATTTCTACGAAAAAAACACTCTTATAAACTAGTTGTAACACTTAACATTTAATGTCTACATTTTTTCCACTATTAACCTCTTAGGTACCAATAAAATAGTGTGAAAGTTTTTATTTGAATATAATTTATCTTTATACGTAAATAATTTCTAGTAATATACAGAAATAATAGTGATTTTCACGCTGCCGACATCCGTTTGGTATGTACCTGTTTTTGTTATTAAAAAAAAAACAATAAAATCTTTTTGAAATGAAGTAAAACCTGGCTTTTGTTTAGATCACAATACAGAGAATTATGTATAGATTTTATAATACCAAACCTTTTTAATAGAAAAGTAGTCTCTAAATATAAGGTTTAATGGTTTAAAATGCTGTGGGTGGGTGATGTCGCATGCGACCGCTCGGGATTTGACGGACGCATCCAACTGCATGGGATTTTATGGGGATTGAAGGGTTAATTGAGTTATTATAAGAAAGGATTTCGTAGATAGCGGATATTTCATTACCTTACATCCATATTGATTTATATTTCAAAGCTTACAAATTTGAATACATAACATACGTATATAAACATAAACACTCACGCCTGTCACCCAGAGGGGTAGGCAGAGACTACAGACTTCCATTTGGCACGATCCTGACGCACCTCTCTCACTATCCATACATCTACGCATACATGCTCGTCGGTTAAGGGTACTCCTAATTCGGCCCGTTTTCAATAAATCGCCAATTTGGTCGATACATTTTCGCCTAGGACGTCCCTTTCCGATTCTGCCATTCACTTCTGCAACATAAATTTTCTTTGTCACTCTTTCCTCATTCATTTTTTCCACATGACCAAACCACCGAAGCATTCCTTTCTTAATCCTGGTCACAACATCATCTTGCAAACCACACTCTTCTCTTATTACACAATTTCTTACCCTATCATTCAGATTCAGCCCTAACATACTCCTTAACGATCGCATTTCTAGTGC